TTGCCGTGCCTTCTCACAAGCGCTGATGGCAGCACTGAAGGAGACGACCTGTGCGCGGAGAGCCCGCCGAATTAGAGTTTTGAGAACTCGACATGAATTAGAACTGGCTATTTCTGTCGGAATCCAAAAAGCGCGTACTTTCCTCGGGTAGTTCGATTGTATATACAAAAGAAGGTTAACCACGGAAGCGCCTGTGTGAAAGCCCGGAGCCCTAAACCCTTCAACCCGAAACCCTCAACTTCAACCCGTAAACCCTAAACCAAAAAGGGTGCAGACTTGAAAGCTGAAGTGACGTTGGGCACCACCTCCGCCACCACCATGATCGAAAGCAGCTGAAGACCTCGCTTGTGCCGGTTAACCCTCTTTATGGACTCTACAGCAAATTGCGGTTTAGGGTTTAGGGATAGGGCCATTCGGGTTTGTTGAACAGAAAAATTGACAGGGGGCATTGTGCTTGTAGAAAGTACAGTGTTTCAGGAGTAGGCTACTTGGGCTTCGAGCTTGAAAGGACATGTAGGGCTTACCTGGGCTCGGGGCCTGTCGTGCTTCTTCCTGGGAAGGATTCTATTGAAACCCTACACAAGCCAATTCAAGACCTGACCCCTGAACCCTGTACGTTGCGCAACATGCTTTGCTTTATCGATGTTCGAGGATCAGCACCCCGACAACTACAGCATCTCTTCGAGCAGAATTATAGGGGCATCAATGCAGGAAGGGCGCCTAAATCGTTGTTCGAGGAAGAGTATTAAAAACCGGAAGGCGCGCAACGACAAGACACGATCCGATCTTCCTTTTGTCCGGTCCTAAGCCCTGCGCCCACAACCCAAAACCCTATAAGTCCTAGAACGCTGAAAAAACAAAACCAAACAAAAAAGACTCCCAAGGGCTGTCTTAGTGGCCCAACTGCCACTTGAGGGCCTTCTCGCAGGCGCTGATGGCGGCGTTGTAGGAAATGACGTCCGGTTGCAAACCGGCCTCTGGCTGTAAGCCGAGGCCGAAAAATTGGCCCCTTCTTTGGGATCCCTGTTCGGGTTGAGGGTGTAGGGTTTGGGGTTGGGATGTTCCCGGATATACTAACAGTCTCAATAGGGATTATAATAGGGGGTGCTACAATCCCCATTAAGGATTGGTAGTATAAGGGCGAACATCCCAAGTTTGGGGTTTGGGTTGGGGGTTTGGGGGCTAGGGTTTGGGGTTTTGCTGTCTAGGAGTCGAGGATGTGGCCTGGTATCGGTTGAAGGTGATAAGCCCTACAACACGCATTCCTGGAATTCCCATACTTCCTATACGTCTCGAAAAGTCTTGATAACCCACTTCCGATGATGCCTGATTGTCCTGAACTTGAACATTTCTACAAGACCCCGACTATAGGCCCTTTGAGCCCTGCAGCACTAGACTCACTAGACCCAGGAGTAACCTGGGAATAAAAAGGGTGCCCGTTTTTGGTTTAAAAGGGGCTTATCAGTTTTAAGGGAACCTAAACCCCAACAAAAAGGGGAATAAGGGAGCCCTAAACCCTAAACCCTAAACCCTAAACCCTAAACCCTAAACCCTAAACCCTAAACCCTAAACCCTAACACCAGGGCTTGAAACCACTGGCCTTGGGTAGGTCCGACAGGAGTTTGGCTGCCTGCTGCCATTCCAGCCTCTTCCTTGGGGATGGGCTGAACCCTCGCAGGGTCCCGGAGATTGAGGGTTTAGGGTTTGGGGTTTGGGGTTTGGGGTTTGGGGTTTGGGGTTTGGGGTTTAGGCTTTAGGGGTTGGTAGGCTCCAGGGTTTTGACCCTAGACCCTAATTAAGCCTTTAAGCCCTTACAGTGACACCGATGGGGGTAAATATGGAATACACTACCCAAAGGGTCCTAGTGTAGTATTTCTGGAATCGGATACCCAGAAACCCTACTATGGATCGGGCTTCTGGTATACCAAATTCTGCACTGGATCCTACAAAGTCCTAAACCCTACGCCCTAAAACTCTAAACCCTCAACCCGACGCCCTAAAAGCCTAGACCCAAAACCCTACTAGAGCCTAAACCTCAAAAGTGTAAAACCCAAAGACCTAAAAACACTCTTGAATCCAAAACCACAAAACCTAAAAACGCTCTTAAGTCTAAAACCCCAAAACCCAAAAACCCGTTTATAAATGTTTGCGAAACATGTTCTACATCACCCCGAAGGTTCTCGCAGGCGCTGATGGCGGCGTTGAAGCTGGTACGATCGGGCGAGACGTCGGATTGCACCATCTCCTTCCTTAGTTTTCCTTAGGGCTTTGCGGGTTTAAGGTTTAAGGGGTGGTTGGGTTGAGGGCTATGGGTTTAAGGCTTATAGGGGCAATGCTCACTGGGGTGTCAAGACTTGAGGTACGTGGTGTAACTTGCAGCTTTTTTTTGACCTAGTTTCAGAATGTGAAGTGCAATCTCCCACTGGCCACCCTTCTGGCATGCGCTGAGGGCAGCATTGAAGCTGATTCCGTCTGGTGACAAGGCACCCGTGAACATCTGGAACAGTATTGAAAGAGCCACCTGCCAGCGAGTGCCCTTCTCACATGCGCTGGTTGCTGCATTCAAGCTGATTCTGCTGGGGCGCATGCTCAGCAGCGGCATGTCTGAAAGGAGGCGCAGGGCCACCTGCCACCGTCCTGCTTTTTCGCAGGCAGTTATGGCAGCGTTGGTCATGATCGTGTCTGGTGTCACTTGAGCTGATCTAGAATCCGACAGCAGGTGCACTGCAAGAAGCCAGTGCCCGCATCTTGCACATGCACTCATTGCAGCACTGAAGCTGATCTTATCTGGCATGATCCCGAGCACAGGCATGCATGCCAGGAAAGACAAGGCCATCTGCCACTCTTCCCCTTTCTCACAAGCAGTTAGGACGGCATTCATGGTCACGTTGTTTGGTGAACTTTGGCTACCAACCATGTCCCAGAAAAGAAGGGAAGCTACCTGCCAGCAACCGTCAGTTGCACAAGCACTGATGGCTGCACTGTGGCTGTATGAATTCGGCTCCACATTCGCTCTCTGCATGTCTGACCACAGTTGTACGGCCGGTGGCCACTGCCCACACTTCGCACAGGCGCTGATGGCGGCGCTGTAGCTAAACTCATTTGCCTCTGTCGCTGCCTCTTGCATGGCGGACAGGACGTCCGAGGCCATCTCCCAACGCCTCCCCTTCCCCAAGGCGCTGATGGCGGCGCTGAAGGTGACGGTGCCTGGGCCGAGGAGGGAATCGTGTGCAAGGTCCAGGTGCTGGAGCACACGTAGAAGTGCTATAAACCAACAGTCGAGGCAACAAGAACAGCCCTTAAGTTGCAGTCCTTAACAAAACCTGAGCTCTGACCCAACCTAGTCGCTTGGCGTGGACTTTGCCGCCCATAAGTCCTCCAAAACTCCCAAAGCAAGCTGCCACTGCCGGGTCTGTGCATGGCGGCCCAGAGCCAGTACACTCCCCCGCTGCTCGCCCGCAAGCTTCTCTTTGCCATCGTCCGCTACATCCATCGTCGCAGGCGCTTTGGGGTCCGCATGGGGTTGCAGCTTCGTTGAGAAGTGTGGCGACAGCATCTCGTCCAAAGCGTGGCAGGTGCTGAAGGTAGCCCTACTCACCGTGACAAGGAGAAGGAAGAGGGCGCTGAGGAAGAAACACCATGCGGGTTCTCTATTTCTGCTTCTTACTTGTTTGGTTGGAGGTTCAGGGTACTTTAAACCCAAGCAGATGTGTAGCTATAGCCCACTTAGAAGCCCCTTAAGTACCCTGACAGGATTATTGTATAGGGTTCTAAGTACAGGTATAATTCGGGTTAAGTACCACGAACCTCCAAGTCGGAATTAGGGTGAGTGGGGGGGAACGGGGGAACTGTGAAGCTACTCCCCCAATTTAAACGGTTCAAGAAACAAAGGAAAGAACTCCAGAAGGCGACAGAGGTTCCCATCCCTGAGGATCCTAAATCCTGAACCCTAAACCCTAACTACCAATTAAACCCTAAACCCTAAACCCTAAACCCTAAACCCTAAACCCTAAACCCTAAACCCTAAACCCCAAACAACCCTTCTCTCCCGGCCCCCTGATGTCCTCCCATGTTATATACGGGACATGCTTGCACATGAAGTATGTGCGGGCCCACGTAGTGAGCATCGATTCCAGGGCTCGTAAGTGAAGGGTTTAGGGTTTAGGGTTCAGGGTAGAGGGTTCAGGGCTTGGGGTTTAAAAGTTTAGGGTTTTAGGGCTACGTCTTTTAGCCTAAGCCTTGTGGGGCTTGTAGCGCAATGCTCTCAGACCGAAGGGCTTTTGGTATGTGACGGGGGCGGTTATTATTTGATATGTTTCTGTAGAAGAGTTACCTCAAAACACACACACACACATATCCACCCACGCACGCCACGCCACGCCACGCCACGCGACGCGACGCGACGCGACGCGGCGCGGCGCGACGTCGCGACCAAAGAGAGGTCCGACTTTGTTGCGTGCAGCGACCAAAGACCTTCTTCAAAACACACACACACACACATACACCTTTGCACTTCTAGTGACTATGAAGCTGTAGAAAATATATAAACACCGAAAACCTACAGAAACAACACCTTCAATCCCACGTGAAGCAATCGAGGCCCTCCCCCTCCAAGGGCACCCATTGGCAATTCGCTTGCGTTTTCCTCCCCGCGCGCTGCCGGCAAGATCCACGCGGATCCTACAACCCTATCCGGCAGAACTGAGGGAGCCAGGTATACGCTGAAAGCTGCAGTGCTCGAACAAGCTCACCCAAAAATCATATCTACACAAATTACCTTCCATCCCGATTTAGTGCGTCAACTGCCGGCGAACCTGGGGAATAAATTTGTGCTGGATGCTCGAAGGCAGCCCCAACGACAGCCACCAAAATCCATAGGCGATGGGGTTACAAGGATTAGGTAGCCCGGTAACCATAGCACAATATGCGTACCCTTGTTTGGTTCGGTTGCTGTAGAAAAGGGAACCTTGAACCAAAAAAGGGACAAGGGTACCACAGGGCTACCAAGAAGGAGGTAGGGGGGAAGAGGCCAAGGTCAGCAAGTCAGACACAGCGCGGCGATACCGGCCGCGCTGGCAGGCGGCAATAGCTAGGCTGAAGCTCAAGATATTGGGCTCCAATGTGGAGGAGAGCATGGAAGAGAGCAGATGCAGTGCAAGCTGCCACTGCCGACCCTTCTCTGCAGCAGCGATAGCCGCATTGAAGGTAATTTCGTTGGGCGTCACCCTTTGGGCAAGCATGGTAGAGAGAAGCAGGAGTGCAACCTTCCATTGCCCACTCTTCTCGCAGGCGCTGATTGCAGCACTGAAAGTCACCCTGTTTGGGAAGAGGCTGCAGGAGTAGAGGCTGCCAAAGAGTTTTAGTGCTACCTGCCATTGCGAACCCTTCTCGCATGCGCTGATGGAGGAGTTGTAGCTGATGACTCCCGGCGCTAGATGCCGGCGTCGCATGTCTGAAAGCTGCTGGCATGCCCGCTGCCACTGGGCTGCCTTCTCACAGGCGCTGATGCTGGCATTAAAAGAGACCTCGTTGGGGGCAAGCCGTGCAACTCCGATGGCTTCAAAAAGGGCCAGAGCCACTTCCCACAAAGCTGCAGCAGCCGCGGCGCTGATTGATGTATTGTAGCTGACAAGATCGGGACAAAGCCTGGCTGAGGGAAGCTCAGCCAACATGCACACGGCCAATTCCCACTGCTTGCCTTGGCCGCAGGCATTCATGGCGGAATTGAAGCTCACACAATCAGCAGTTAACTTGCGCAGGCTCATCGAGGACAGAGTCTGCAAGGCCCACTGCCACTGGCTAGCTTTCGCGCAGGCGCTGATGCAGGAGTTCAAGGTAATTTCGTTGGGCTTCACCTTGACATCTTGCATCCAGGCGAGAACTTCCAGAGCAGCTTGCCAGTGTCCTGCCTTCTCACAGGCACTGACCGCAGAGCTGAAGGCAACTACGTTGGGAACTATGTCCAAAAAGGGCATCTCTCCGAGCAGTCCCAGTGCAACTTGCCACTGACCGCCGCCCTCACAGGCAGAGATGGCAGCACTGAAGCTGACCACATTTGGCTCCATGGTGCCCTGCATCATGCACTCCAGTAAATGACCTCCCAGCTGCCATTTCGCACTGTTCGCGCATGCGCTGAGCGCGGCATTGCAGCTGATCGTGTTGGGTGGGATGCCACAGGGCTCCATCTCCCAGAGTAGCTGCAGTGCAGTCCTCCATTGTGCCCTGGCAGCGCATGCGCTAATCGCACTGCCAAACGTCACCACGCTCGGCGTGCACTGCATCTCAAGCATCTTAGAAAAGCACTGCAAGGCCAGCTGCCATGCCCCACCCTTCTCACAAGCACTCACTGAGGCGTTGAAGGTGACTTGGCTGGGTAGGATGCGGGATGCCAGCATGTCCGGAAGGGCCTGCAGTCCCATCTGCCACTGCGCACCCCGCTGGCAGGCACTAATGGCGGAGCTGATGCTGAACCTTATGGGACACTCACGGAGGAATGTAGGGAACTGGGGAGTTGGGTACCGGAGATCCCCCCGAATCCTCCAAAGGATTATATGGGGCTTCCAATTGTCTACCAGGGTTTAGGGTTTAGGGTTCAGGGTCCCTCATGGAAGCACAGCCGAGGATCACGTCAGCCCTACACGAATGGCGCTCCATCCCAGAGAGCAGCTGCAGTGCCTTCTGCCATGCGCCTGAAAAGATTGCACTCCTAAAAACCTTAGGTTTGGGATTTAGGGCTAAGTATTTATCGTGTTAGGGTGATTGCAACTTTGTTTTCTAAGGTTTTAGGGTTTAGTAGGGCCCTATGACCCTACAACCCCATAACCCTTCGACACGACAAGGGAAAAAGATCACGAAGTGTCGATCCGCCACAAACTTGGGGGATTGATTCAACTGTTTAGCCTCTTTTTTTGTGGCACCCCTCAAACTATCGATCCTCAAGGAAGGCTCAAGAGGTTTAGGGGAGTTGGGTTTTTGTTGGAGGAGGCGAGGGGTTAGGGGGTTAAAGAGGATGCCGATGCGGATGATGTCAACATAGCGGCCCCCTACTTGTTGATCATACGGTCTAGGGCACGCCTCCAACAAGGGAACCATAACCTAGGGAACCCTTTAAAGCCCCCAAAAGCCCAAAAACCTAAAGCCCTACAAAGGGACCATCATCTTGGGAACTCTAGGCCTGAAATCCCTGCCCTCTCCCCCAACAAAAACTCAACCCCAAACCCTAAGCCCCAAATCCCCAAACCCTAAACCCCCAAACCCTAAACCCCAAATGCCCCAAACCCGAAACCCCAAACCCCAACGGCCTCCCTTGTCGAAGGAGTTCAACCCCAGGTTCAGAACCTTGGGAGGGCTTTTGAAGGGTTCATGGGCATGGGGTTGTGGCCTAATTAGGGTTTAGGGTTTAGGGCTAGGGTTTAGGGTGTGGGGTTTAGGATTTAGGGTGTGGGGTTTAGGGTTTAGGGTTTAGGGTTTAGGGTTTAGGGTTTGGGGTTTGGGGTTTAGGGTTTAGGGTTTAGGGTTTAGGGTTTCGGGACCGAAGTGAGAAACGACTAATGGGCATTTCCCGGCACCCCTTACCTACATCCGCCTTTTAACCCTGAACCCCAACACTAAGCTGATTTATAGGGTTGAGGGTTTAGGGTTCCGCGTTTCGGGCTTAGGGTCTCCCTAAGCCCTAAGCCCTGAGCCCTGAACCCTAACCCTAAACCCTAAACCCTAAACCCTAAACCCCAATCCCTAAACCCTAAACCCTAAACCCTAAACCCTAAGCCCTAATCCCTAAAACCCAAACACAAACCCAAGGAGCCACTTCGTTCATCTGCACGCCGGCTGTTGCGATGTGCGCCAGCATGTGGCCTACCACCTGCCACTGGCTACCTGACAGGGCTCAGGGCTTAGGGCTTAGGGCTGCTTAGGGCTGCTTAGGGCTTGGGGCTTAGGGCTTAGGGCTTAGGGCTTAGGGCTGAGGGCTTAGGGATTATAGGGTTTAGGGAAGCCCCGCACCCCAAAATATCTTAGAAGGATCTGGAAGTATTCTCGGCCCCTAATGGTACCGAATGGCAAGATCTGATGAACTGGTTTTGGGGCCCGTTGACGTTTGGCGCCTGTTTTTGCGTAGGAATCCTTGAACCCTAAGCCCTAAACCCTTTTTCTGATAGGGTCCATACGGGGGCCCTACAAACAAGGGAACGAGAATGTAGGATTTAAAAAGAAAAAGCAATACTAACGGGAAAAAAGAAAGAACCGATAATCATATTCAGGTTCACATCGCCACAAGAAGTGAAGAGCGCACCATGAACAACCAACTCGCCCTGTGTATTCTAGTAACCCAAGACTTAGTTCAATTCTTAGGGTTTCGGGCTGGGAAAGGGGCAAGGTACCTTAGGCTCCCCTCCCACCCCCCCCCCTCCCCCAGCCCCAATCGCACCCTTCTGGCAGGCTCGGAGTGCGGCGCCGTAACTGAAGATGTTCGCTGCCCCGGCAACCTCGAGAGCCTCCAACGCATGCAGGGCCTCCGGCCACTGCGCCCCGTACCTGGGCACCAAAGCTTCGACAGGAACCCAAAATGGTACAACCCCATGCGCCCTACGAACCCTCTACCCTTCAACCCTAAACCCCAAAAACCTTCAACCCCAAGCGGATATTTGGGTTTGGGGGTTCGGATTCGGGCCTTTATTTTGGGGGGCCGGAATTTTGAAGATGAAGCATCCTAGGGTACAAGGGGGGTTGAGGGTTTAGGGTTTAGGGTTTAGGGTCCAAGTGAAAGTGTCTCCACGTATCAGCCTGGCTGCCGCAGGAGCTCGACATTCGACGCGCGCACTCTGGGCGAATCCAGCCCGCGGGGCATTTACCACAAAGGCCGTGCGGCAAAGCAATCAGGGTAGCATACTAAACGCCCTTCTTTAAACCCCTTAAACCCCTTAAACCCTTTAAACCCTTTAAACCCTTTAAACCCTTTAAACCCATTAAACCCTTAAACCCTTACACCCTAAAACCCTAAAACCCTTAAACAACACTGGATCCTAAATCCGAAACCCTACAGGGGTGTGTTGGGTGCTCCAGAAGATGCCCCGGGGGTCCTTATTTCTGTATGAGGCCCTGCAGCTGAAGAAGCTTGATTCCTAACGCCTGCTGAGACAAGCAGTCGCCGAAACCCTAAACCCTTTCACGACCCTGTAAACCCTTTTTTCGCTCTACAAACCCTAGAAACTCTAGAGCCGCTATAAATCCTGTAAACCCTATGTAAGCCTATACCCTCTTTACCCTGAAGAGGACTTCAGCTTTGTGGACCTGAACGGAGGAACGCTACGATCGCCGTAAGGGTGTAAGGTTAGGGTTTAGGGTTTAGGGTTTAGGGTTTAGGGTTTAGGGTTTAGGGTTTAGGGTTTAGGGTTTAGGGTTTAGAGGAAGGATAGAGATAATCATCTTGCGGCAAAAGAGCAGTGTACCTCTTTACTTGATGCTGACACAGACCTGCAACGCGATCACTTACAGCAAAATACATAAATTTCAAAGAAGGGACGTGCAACGAATGGTATGTCTCATTTATAAAGGGGCTTATCTGGGTTACTCCAATCGGATCTCCAGGACTGAGGAGTTAAGGGGTCTTAGGTTTGAGCTTCTGCTTGGCATAAACACAAACCCTAAACCCTAAACCCTAAACCCTAAACCCTAAACCCTAAACCCTAAACCCTAAACCCTACATCGTTGCCCACGGCAGAACTTCGCGATCCTTCGCCAGTTTAAGCAAGCGGTCGCATCTTACAGCAGCCCCGCGCCGCAAGCGCAGCAAGCCATCGGAGATGTTGAGCCAGAAGCCCTCTAAGGGTAGTTCTGTCATGGGCCCTTAATACAGTCCGTTTTTCGGGTACTTCTTACCCTACTTCTTCTAAGTACTAAACCCTAAACCCTAAGCCGAGATCTTCAAGCACGCAAACTAACAGGGAGAGAAGAAAGCCCGCACGCAGCTCGACCCTGTCTCTTTTTCGCAGGAAGCGAGCACACTATCAGGTGGGGAACAAAAACAACAACACACGGTGCAGCCAGATGCAACAGTCTAGTTAGCAATACCGCACCTGCCGTCCGGCCTGTGCCAGCTAACTATTAAGCAGAAAAAGGCCGCACCGCAAACTTTTATTCCCCCTGGGCGTGGAGGGCGGGGAAATCGATACACAGCTACACGTTTCTGTCCAAGTACTGTACTGTGCCACTTCCTTCGGACACCCGGCTTGAGCACACATACACCTGCTAAAGTGCTGCAGTTCACAACAACGCATTGCGTGGTCGCAACACGCAGTCTCTCTACTGACAAAGCAACTCAAATAACTAACAGCAAACGCACGTTAGCACGTGCACACAGACGCCAGTCCTGCTGCACGCAGGGACCTGTCTCACCGTGCTAGATGATCCCACTTTGCTGCACGCGCGTGCACCCCGACTAAACCCTTAACCCTTAACCCTAAACCCTAAATTCGACAGAAGGAGAGCAGGGAAAGGCCGACCGCAGACCTCGCAACCTCCCACGGCTGCGGCCAAGCTGGCCGAGGAGGGCCGGAGTCCGAGAATGGGCCTCGGAGGGTGGCAAGGACAAGGGCTTAGAGAGGGGTTCTTAGGGTTTAGGGTTCAGGGTTCAGGGTTTAGGGGTGTTAGAAGGTTTAGGGCTTAGGGTTGGGGTTTTTATGGTTTAGGGTTTAGGGGCTTTAGAAGGTTTAGGGTTTAGGGTTGGGGTTTTTAGGGTTTAGGGTTGGGGATTAGAGTTTAGGGGCTTTAGAAGGTTTTGGGTTTAGGGGCTATAGAAGGCTTAGGGTTTAGGAAACTGGGGGTTCAAAAAAAATTTGGTCAAGGGGAGCAAGAAGAAGGGCTTAGAGTTCATTTTGGGTTTAGGGTTTAGGGTTTAGGGTTTAGGGTTTGGGGGGACCGTAGAGATTTGTTGCAAACATCAACCCTTAGGGGGGTGAGGGTTTAGGGGTTTGGTCTAGGGTTTGGGGGCCAGGACTGGAGGTTCGGGGATTTGGGGGCTTAGGTTTTCGGGCTTACGGTGTAGGTGTTCGGGTTTAGGGGTTTAGGGTTAAGGGTTATAGGGAGCAGTAGATTTTTTAAGCGCTGGTATGACTGATATAGATGTTTAATGGGGCATGGAATGATCAGGGCCTATAGCCCTAAACCCTGAACCCCAAACCCAACCCTAAACCTTAAACCCTAAGCTAGGGTTTTGGAGGTTGGGGGAAGGTTGGGGTGCTGGCATGTTGGTGGTTGCAAGGTTTAAGGGTACAAGGGCTGTGCGAGGGAGTTCCACGAAGCCCAAGATTCCAAAAGCCCAAGCTCTAAACTCTGAACTCCGAAGCCTGAACCGAAAAGCTGAGTACCACACAGGGTTTAGGAATTTTGGGGCTTGGGATATCTTGGATGTTGTTGTTGAACATTGGGCCTTAGCGCTAGCCTGTAGGAGAGAAACTCCCCCCCAAAAGGGAACCCCAAATGCCCACAAAAGCGGGCTTCAGCAGAGAGGCATGCTGGAAAGAAGTGAAAGAGCCATCTGCCATTGCAGCCCCTTGCTGCAGGCAGCCATCGAAGCGTTGCAGCTGATTGTGTCCGGATCCACAGCAGACCTCCGCGAGGGTTAAGGGCCTTCGGCCCGTTCAACCCGCTCAAGCCTTCCCTAAGACTATCTAAACCCTAAACCCTAAACCCGAAACCCTGAAACCTAAACCCTGAACCCTAAAAACCCTAAACCCTAAAGCAGAAGAGAAGAAAAGGAAGTGGAGGCGTTGCCGATGGAAGGCTTTCTAACCTCAGGTAGGAGGCTCTTCCATGTGCCCGAACATGTCCACCGCCACCTCCCAGCGACTGCCCTTCTCTGCAGAGCTGAGAACTGCGTTGAAGGAGATGAGACCTGGGACGCGTGGAGGGGCTGGGTGCCTCTCTCCTGAACCTGTGAATGTCTCTACAAAACCCCCCCCCCCTAGAACCCTAATCAAGCTATGATGTCGATCACTCCCTACTTTGATTTAAATACAGCAACAAAAGACATTCCTAAGGACGCTGGTATACTTCGGTGTAGGTTTAGGTTGAGGGGTTTAGGGTTTAGGATTTAGGGATTCGACTCTAAACCCTAAACCCTAAACCCTAAACCTGGTCGGAAGGCGCAACTCATGGTTCAGATGGGGCTTCAGTGGGTCCAGGCGAGCCGCGGGGGAAAAGGAAAAACCCAGGTTAGGGTTTAGGGCTTAGGGCTTAGGGTTTAGGGTTGAGAGTTTAGGGTTTAGGGTTTAGGGTTTAGGGTTTAGGGCTACTTATCAAGAAGTTTCCCATGCTCATCACCCAAAATGGCCCAACCGCAATACTTTCCCGGCTTCGAGGCTTTTCTGAAGCCTACACCCGAAACCTTTTCGACATTCAGAAGGGCCCAGGTGAAAGCAACAAGTGGACAGCTGAAGCTATTTGGGCATTTTCCGAAATAGCGGTACCCCTGGTCTACCCCAAATGGAATAAAATCCCCTTAGAGGGACCGGGGCTGAGGAGCTAGCAGTGTGTCTTCCTTGCATCCAAAGATGGAGCCCCAACTTGGTCAGGCTCCCTTGCTTGGCCCTAGTAGAAGGTGCCTTGAGTGATCAACCTTGCGATCACTGAATTTTAAGCCATCCTGACAGAGCTTAATTGGGGTTGTATAAAAACCCCGTGTTAAATCTATTCATCCGTCCAAGGGTTATCGTTTTAATTTCTTGATTATCGTTTTACAGGGTTTGGGGGAAGAACCAACAATTTGGAACCGACGTTCCCGCGAGCGGGCTGGGCTTTCGTTGATTTGCTGTGAGCCGGCTGGGTTTTCGTTGATTTGTAGTACAAGCTTAGTACTGGAACCGACGTTCCCATGAGGTGGCTGGTTTTTCGTTGATTTGTAGTACAAGCTTAGTACTGGAACCGACGTTCCCGTGAGGTGGCTGGTTTTTCGTTGATTTGTAGTACAAGCTTAGTACTGGAGGAACCGACGTTCCCCGCGAGCGGGCTGGGTTTTCGTTGATTTGTAGTACAAGCTTAGTACTGGAGCCGACGTTCCCGTGAGCAGGCTGGGTTTTCAGTGTTTTCATGCATTTGTAGTACAAGCTTAGTACTGGAATATCGCCTGCCTGCCCCGATCTTACAAAGTTATCGTTTTATTTTCTTGATTATCGTTTTACGAGTCAGAAGCACTGCCCCAAACGCTTCGGGCGATTCCTTTCATAAATCGACGGCGCGGGGTTTTTATACAACCCCAATTAGGGTTTAGGGTTTAGGGGTTATAAGGGTTTAGGGTTTAGGGTTTAGTAAGGCACGTACCCAGTAGTACAGCTGCTGAGTCCGTCGGCGTTGCGGCCCCCGGGAACGACTACAAGCAGCGTTAACCTTAACTCTCCAAAGCCTGCCAAGCAATTCAACAAACTGTTCTCCAGCAAACGAATTCCTTGTGATAGCAAGTTCATCAGTTCCAGCCAATTCATAGGACGTGTGGATAGATGGGGGGAGCAGAACTAGCAGTGCTATCAGTTCTCAAGGATTGACCTGATGCGGCATGAAAATCGTGAGCTCTTGTCACCTCACTTGCGTTCCCCCTGAAACCCTGAACCCTATAGCCCTGTGCGAGCGAGGGCAGAGACCCTGTTAACTGCAGGCCGAGATACTGGGCGTCACGCCACTGAGCCCCATAGCTGCGAAAAGCTCAACCGCTTCCTGCCACAGCGAGGACTTCTCGCAGGAGGAGATGGTTGCATTGAAGCTAATCACATTGGGCCGGGCCAGAGTTGCCGGCATGTCCGCAAAGAGGCACAGGGCCGATTGCCACTGCGAGGACTTCTCGCATGAGCTGATGGCCGCGTTGAAAGCGATTGAGGTGGCAACCCGAGCCACGAGCATTGTCAGCAGCAGGGCCAGAGCCATTTGCCACTGCAATGCTTTTTCACAGGCGCTGATGGCGGCACAGCAGCTGACTTCGTCTGGCGCAGGGCTTGACCAGAGCAGGTGGAAAGCCAGCTGCCATTGCAAGCCATTCCCACAAGCGCTGATGCAGGCGTTTATGCTTATGGCGTCTGGAGAGATCTGGGAACGGTGCATGTGGGAGAGCAAGTACAGCGACAGCTGCCACTGTGAGTCATTCCCACAGGCACTCATGCAACTGTTGAAAGTGATTACATCAGGAGCCAGGGCGTCTGATGACATGCTGGAGAAAAGCTGAAGTGCTCTGGTCCACTGGGAAGACTTCTCACAGGCACTGAGAGCAGCATTGAAGCTAATCACATTCGGCAGTAGCCGTGCGCCAGGCATACTCCGAAGCAACTGCAGAGCTTTCTGCCATTGTGAGCACTTCTCACAGGAACTGATCGCCGCGTCCAGGCTGATAACATCTTGAAGGACCTGGGCCAAATTCATGCTCTGCAACAGCTGCAGCGCCACTTGCCACTGACCCCCCTTCTCACAGGCACTGATGGAAGCATTGAAGGTCACACCGTCAGGCCTACACAACCAGGAAGCCATTGTCTCCAACAGTCGCAGCGCCATCTCCCAGCAAGCCTCCCTTCCACAAGCGCTCAGCGCTGCATTGAAGCTGACTTGGTTTGGGGCGACGGAGTACGCAGGAGAGGCGCCAAACAACAGGTGAAGAGCCATCTGCCACTTGCCGGCCTTCTCACACGCACTGATCGCGGAGCTCAGGCTGTACACGTCGGGATCTGCCCTTAAATCGCCCATCTCCGAGAGCAGCTGAAGGCCATGGGCCCATGCGCCACCCTTCTCGCAGGCGGAAATAGCTGCATTGAGGGCGATCTGATCTGGGGCCTCCGAAGCACGAAGCAGTGAGAGAAGCTCCAGGGACCGCTGCCATTCTTGGGCTCTTGCGCAGGAGCTGATGCCCGCGGTGCAGCGCACCGCGTTCAATGGCAGCCTTGCTTGCGGCAAGTCGTTCAAGAGCTGTAGCACCACCCGCCACCTCGGTTCCAGAACTCATCTTGAACCTCACTGCACCCTAAGCCCTAAACCCTAAACCCTAAACCCCAAACCCTAAACCCTAAACCCTAAACCCTAACTGGTTCTAGAAACCCTCAACTTGGTGAAGATCGTTTCCAATGCCAGCGCGCTCACTGCCGCCCCTTGACACAGGCTCGCAGCGCCGAGTCCAATCCTCGCGCCGTGCGCGCCTCTCCGAAGAACTTGGAGGTTCAGGGTACTTGGGTTTAGGGTTGGGGTTTGGGGTTTAGGGTTTGGGGGTTAGGGCTTAGGGTTTAGCATTTGCGGTACTTATAACCGAACTATAAGTGTAGTTATAACCCACTTACAAGCCCCTTGCGTACCTTAATGGGGCTATGTTTGGTTCACAAGTGCCGTTTTAATTGGCTTACCCTGAACCTCCAAGAAGGCCTCCACGCAGGACGGCCACAGGGCTTCTTGCAGGGGCATCGCCATGGCTCTGGCCACGTAAGCGACTATGCCCCGACATGAAGAGGCCCACACGAAAGATGCCCCCACAGTAGCCCCAACTGGTATGTGCAAACCCTAAACCCTAAGCCCTAAGCCCTAAACCCTAAACCACACCTGGACCCTCCAAGTCTATCTCCTGCCCATCGATAGAGCAATCCTGGCACGCAGCTTGAATTCCAGTAGCCTGCAAGTCGCATGGAAAGAGTGCGTCAAGTCACTCTTAGTGGGGAAGTCACTTCCTGGCTCTTAGTGGGGAAGCCCGCAACTAGGAGCCTGGCCTAGGGCGAATTTGAGGAACTCGCAAATCCCCAGCCCCCAATACCGGCAAGACAACTGCCGACCCTGACCCTCCCCGCCCCTGCTGTCAGAAAGGCATGAACCCCTAAAACCCTAAAATCGAAAAAACCCTAAAAACCCTGAACAATCCAAACAAAAAAAAACCTAAAAATTCCAACCCCTTCAAATACCTCATGGACGAAGATCCGAGTTCAGGGTTAAGAAGGCGAGGGTTCTTGTTGACTTCCGACCTGATATCCCTTCAGACCTCAAACCCACAAACCCTCCCGACAAAAAACAATGAAAGGGACAACCCCAAAACTCCAAAAGCCCTAATCTTAAACCCTAAATCCCTAAACCCCAAGATCCCTAAACCCTAACCCTAAACCCTAAACCCTAAACCCTAAACCCTAAAGCCTAAACCCTAAAGCCTAAACCCTAAACCCTAAACCCCCCCCACCTGAGATTCCCAGGGCTCGGAGCTCGCGGAGCAGGGCAAAGCCCTGTCGCCAGGCGGCACCGGCTCCGCAGGCGCTGAGGGCTGCTGTGTACCTCGGGGGTGTTAGGGTTTAGAACTTAGGTTTAGGGTTTAGGGTTTAGGGTTTAGGGTTTGGGTTTAGGGTTTAGGGTTTAGGGTTTAGGGTTTAGGGTTTAGGGTTTAGGGTTTAGGGTTTAGGGTTTAGGGTTTGGGGTTTAGGGTTTAGGGTTTAGGGTCTAGGGTTTTTGGGGTTTTAGGGTTCAGGGTTTACGATACCTTTGGGGTGTCAGGGCGACAGGATTTGGGATTTAGGGTTTTAGGGGTGTCGGATCTGGGGCTTTGAGTTCAGGATCTATGGTGTACGGGGTTTAGGGTAGGGTTCAGGGCTTGGGGGGTTTTGGCTCGGGAAAGCTGATGGAGAATTGGGTTTGGGGAGGGCGTTAGGGTTCAGGGAAATGAGGTTTCGGGGCTTGGGGCTTGGGGGGGTTAGGGTTTTAGGGTTTAGGGTTTAGGGTTTAGGGTTTGGGGTTTTTTCGGCTGTTTGGCGTACGCTCCGTTTTGTTGCAGGGGGTTAGGTTTCCCGATGGGCCCTAAACCCTCCAACCCTCATGCATCTCTTTCAGCTGAGGTGCGTCACGGTGTTGCCGGTGAGACGGCAGGAGCCTAGCGGTGTGCCAAGAGAGTTCCGTTTCGCTCAGTATGTTTTGGGTTTAGGGTCTAGGCTTTAGGGTTTAGGGTGTGCCCAGCTTTTGATATGAGGAACTGGAATTCAGTTAAAAGGGTCAACATAGTAATAATGTCTATGAACACCGGGTGCTAGCAGCTCTCAAGCCCAATAAGGGAAACTCCAACATGTCCCAAAGGACTCGGCGCCCAATGCACTGAAAGGAGGCAAGTCAACAGAATGGACCCACTCTGGGTCTCCATTATCACTGATGTCTTGTCGCTTATAGGGTACTGTGCAAATTTATCATGGGCCAGGAAAGCCTGTGTGTCCCGGACACGATGGCTGCGGGCCTCTCAGCAACACGTATACACAAACAAAATGATTCTGTGTGTGGTCGATTCTCAGACGAAAATCGGGGCTCATCCCCCAAACAACATCCCCAAACACCGGAACTTATAAAGCTCTAAGCTCCTTCCTCATCCTCTGGGGGAGAAAGGGGAACAAGGTTTTTGAAAAAGGCGCACACATGGGCGCGAGAATATGAAGGATGGCTCTTGTACATCCTCCACCACTGGAGGAATTGAGGCAGACGACTTCAGGCTTTTGGGTTGAATATCTGCAAGGCCCTCAACCCTAAACCTTAAACCCTAGACCCTAAACAAGGTGATGGGATGCAGGGATCAGGGTACTCCACCGTGGCTTGCGTCGGAGGCGCGGAGATCGCTGAGAAGCAGCAGCGCCTGCTGCCTGGGGGTCCAGCAGCCGGGAAGAACCCCGAAACTCCAATGTCTGAGGCGGCTTTTGAGAGCATTTCGGGTCGATGCTCGATGTCTATCTAACACAAGGAAGAAAACCATTCGCGCCATGGATTTGGTCCTCGAACCCCGACAGGAGCCTAGAAACGTCATATGGAAGCAGTTGTCTAAATTACATTATGGCCCTTGGGGTATCTTGCAAGGAAGGCTCCGTGATATCGAAGGAACCCGCACATGTTGAACGGAACAAGCCCTACCAATCTTGCACCTGAACGGCACTAAGATGCTCCTTGCCACTGTCTCAGGGTGTTAGGGTTCAGGCTATATGGTTTAGAAGGGGTTTGAGCTTGAGGGCCCCCGGACCTGTCCACAATTACTGCCTTGAACAAATTTTCTTCTACTTGCTTGGATTCCTTGGGGGTCGGGGGCGTGGGGGGTGGCGGTACCCATTTTGGAGCTTAGGGTTTCGGGCCTAACCTTAACGCCCTACACCCAACACCAAGGGGGGCTGAGCAAGAACCACTGAACAAGACAGACCCGGCCGACTCCCTTTAACCAGGCCTCCAGGTTTAGGGGGTTTGGGTTTAGGGCGGCACGAAAACCCTCACCCCTAAACCACCTAAACCCCCACCCCCCCCCCCCCCCCCCCCCCCCCCCCCCACCCCGGTCTTTTCAAGCCCTGTCACCCTGGGCTCTAAGCATTGCTTTCTCAAAGGCCCATAGACCAAGAACAGCAATGATATTGCAAGTGCATCCTCATCCCCACACAGACCTACAGCAAGCCAGTACTTCGTTCGAACACCCTGGCCCTGGCCCAAAAAAAGTTCACCTTTCAATCATGGTAGGACTATAGACTTAAGTACTCAGATACTGAGAGTAAGCAATCTCGCGTCCGTAAGGCCGCCGAGCAGCCACCGCCCTCCCTTCTCACAGGCGCTGATGGCGGCATTGAAGGCCACAATGGTAGGCTGCCTTGAACCCCTAAACCCTAAACCCTAAACCCTAAACCCTAAACCCTAAACCCTAACCCCATAACGCATAACCCATAACCCTCAGCCCTAGAACTTCACACCCCGAAACCCTCAGCCCTAAACCCTTTCACCCCAAAACTCTGAAACCCTGAGCCCTAAACCCACCCCAAAAACTTCGAAACCCTGAGCCCAAAACCTTTTCACCCCCAAGCTCTGAGATCCTATAAGCCCTATAGACCCTGTAAGCCCAAAACCCTATGTGCAATCAGAAGGAATACTAGGATGACTCCTAACGCCCTCTGAAAAATATTCCTACACCTGGCCCTCTTACACCCAATAAGGGGAAATGCAAGATTTCCAAAGGGCCTACCACGAAATATATATGGCTTGAGCTGCAGTTGGTGTCTGGGCATCGCAGCCAGCAGCTGCAGTGCGCACTGCCACTGATGGCCTTTCCTGGATGGAGAAGCGCTCTGAAGGCTTGGGGTTTCGGATTTGGGGTTTAGGGTTTAGGGATTTAGCCTGCTTTTGCCCGAGATTGGGAAAATTCGTAGAACTTGGATGCAATGGCAGGGACTTTCGGGACTGCATCTGGTACGTGGGGACTTACCTAGGGTTGAGCGGGGACTTGGGACTCAGGATGTCGTGGCAGTTCCAGTGTTGGACCGAGCTCTGCCCAAGGAGCTGACCTCAAGGCTGGTAAGACCCACCCTTTATGGGGCTGAGGGGCTACGGTGCCTGTTTTTAAATACCCGGACATCTAAACAGTCAAACAGGTATTTCATACTACCTCCGTGGAGCGCGGCGTCAGGCCGCCCAGCGTTTTAAACATCCGGAAATAGACCCTCCAGCAAGCCTTCCCGCGCCAAGCCCCCCTCCAGCCAACACCCCCCCCCCCCACCAACCTCACAACCAATCACCCAAACCTCCCTCAAACCGCCCTCTCTCCAGCCCCCAGCCAAACACCCTATCCACCCCTCCAGCCAACCCCTCCAGCCAAACCCCACATCCTCCAGCCAACACCCCCCCCCCAAAAGCCAAGCCCCCCTCCACAGCCAACCGCCCCCATCCAGCCAAAGCCCCAGCCAACACCCCTCCAGCCACAGCACCCCTCCAACCCCAGTTAATCGCCCCCAGCCAACACCCCCTCCCCCCCCAGCCCCCCCCAAAACGCCGAGCCAAGCCCCCCCTCCGCAGCCAACCGCCCCCATCCAGCCAAAGCCCCCACCTTTTCCAGGAAGGCCCTTAAGAATATTCAACACTGAATTAAAACACTGAATTGCATAAACTTTCCAGAACCCCAAGCCCGAAAACACCAGAGCAGGAAGGGTGGGGTTTGGCTGGGGGGGGGTTGGCTGGAGGGGGGGGTGTTGGCTGGAGGGGTGCTGGAGGGTTGGAGGGGGGAGGGGTGTTGGAGGGGGGGTTTGGCTGGAAAGGGTTGGGTTTGGCTGGGGGTTGGGTGGGGGTGTTGGGGCTGGGTTGGCTGGAGGGGGGGGTGGGGTTGGCTGGAAGGGTGAGGAAGGTGGGAAGGGGGTTGGCTGGAGGGGTGCTGGAGGGGGGGGGTGGTGGAGGGCCTGTTGGCTGGAGGGGGGTTGGCTGGGGGGGGGGGTGCTAGGGGTGGGGTTGGCTGGAGGGGGGGGTGCTGGTGAGGAAGGTGGGAGGGGTTGGCTGGAGGCTGGGGGGTTGGCGGGGGGGAGGGGTGCTGGAGGGTTGGTGGAGGGGCTGTTGGCTGGAGGGGTGGTTGGCTGGAGGGGGGGGGTGCTGGAGGGGGTTGGCTGGAAGGGTGAGGAAGGTGGGGTGGAGGGGGGGAGGGGCGCTGGAGGGGGGGGGGGGTTGGC